CTAATCACGACTTCCATTCTGCTCACTATCTCTATGGTTATCTGGGAAATTATTTCTGATTTGAATTTTTCTAGAGCCTGATTGATCTGTTTTGTTACTTCCTGTGCTTTGAGTTCAGGGTGACCTGGTGGTTCACTATCGGCCTTTTCATCCTCATTTGCCCTACTGTTTGCCATTGGTGAACTGGAAGTCTGTGTTTGTGTCTTGTTTAAGTATATTCTCATTTTTATTTTTGTTGTTGTACTGTCCTTGGTTTATTCTCTGGGTTATCACCCAAATCTTCCTGATATAGTTACGCCCTAGCTTCTGTGTCTTTAACAACCCACAGACATTCCCATCTTCATAACATCAGAGAAAACAGCTCATCAAATCAACCACAATGCTTTATCCCAACTGATACAATCAGCAACACGTTAAGATCAAGCACAACTTGGAAACTGATCACCTGTGGTTGTCATTAGTCTATCACCCTTAAATCATTTGAATTAAATTGAAATCAAGAAGCAGTCCAGGACATGTCTGCAGTGAACAAAATTTCAATATAGTGTATTTACCATTTAATTGCTCAGACAGAGCGAGGATGCAAGACCCCTGGTCTCTGTTAGCTGATGGCTGCACCCCTTGATGCTGACTGACCTCAGGCTGCAAGGCCCAGATTGAGTTTCCCAACCTTCTGAATGGTTGAACTCCACACCATTGTACTAAAGATTTCCCATGCCCTTTCTTTAAAGATGTTCAAAGTTGGTAACTCAGAAAAATACCCTTGGTGACCAACTCTGCCTCTGCAGAGTGGGTCCAAAGACTGGCACAGTCAGGAGGTCTGAGAGTGCGTGCAGGCGGGGGGTGTAAGGGGAGTTATGGGGCTTCAGGGGGGCCCTCGCAGCTACCTTCTGGCACTGGAGCGATGGTGGCTGGGGCAGGAGAAGGAGTGGCTCTCCTTCCTGCAGTGGATTGGGGCCCAGGCTATCTCCCGGAGCTGGAGCGATGGTGGCTGGGCCACAATGGGAGAAGATTATAACCAGCTATTGCTCAGGCCAAAGGCCAACATCTAGAATATATTAAGAACTTTAAAAAAAATGAGACCTGCCCTGATTTAAAGACATAATCCAAAAAATGGGCTTCTAAAGTGAATAGGTCCTTCTCCAATTAAAAATTACAAACAGTAAGTAGATATATGAAAAAATGTTTAACATCACTCTGGTCATTAGAGAAATGCAAATTACAACAATATTGAGATTTCATCCTACTCCAGAAGGAATAGCTATCATCAACAAATCAACCAATAACAAATGCTAGCAAGGCTTTTAGGAAAAAGAAACTTCTCCATTGTTGGTTGGAATGTAATTTGGTGCAACCATTATGGTAATCAGGATGAAGATTCCTCAAAAAACTAAAACCAGAGATCCCACTTGACCCAGCTGTGCCACTTCAAAGTATCTTTCCAAAAGAGTTAAAAGTGTCTTTCTTAGTTCTTTTTTTCCTCATTGCTAAGACAAAATACCTGACACCCAAAGTTAAAGGAGGAAAGGTTTATTTAGCTCACAGTTTGTAGAGATTTTAGTTCATAGTTGGCTGGCTCCAAGGCAGAGTAGTATGGCAGAGGGGCATCACAGAGGAGAAACAGTTCCTGGCAGGAAAAAGGCAGCAAGCAGCATACAGATGACAACAGCAGCCCTCTTTCTATCCCTTATAGTACATCCAGGTTTCTTGTCCTTACAGTGTGTAGCACACACACCCAAGTTGGGACACCCTTAAACCTATGCAGAATTATGTCAAACCAAACAGTGGACTAATCTAGTAATCACAGACCCTCGATCCCATCAAACATCACACGCTCAATCCCAGCATCACACACTCTAGATCCATCCACCTCTGAATAGCCCCACTTATGATCAAATGAGGCTTTGGCGGGGGGGACATGTAGACATGAGCCATAACAGCAACATGCCACAGTGCTATAACAATATTTGCATACCAATATTTATAGCATCCAAATTTATAATAATTAAATATTGGAAACAGCCCATATGCCTTCCATTTTGCTCCTTATTTACCTTTTGGTTTCTCACAGGAACAATGAAATATCTAAACTCATGTGATTGAATTATTTCACTTAGCATTATGGTCTTGAGCTGCATCCATCTACCTAACCAGTATAATTCCTGGCAGATATTTGTGTGTATCTATTTATATATGTTCCTGTATATATTGCCATATTCATGTTTATGGTTACATAAACATACATATTTTTATTTTGTAGCAAAGCCTAAACTTTCTCTTTAGGAAAGCTTTCTCTTCATTATTGTTTTATTTTTGTTTTTGTTCTTGTTTCTTGCTTTTTGAGATAGGGTCTAACTATGTGCTTGAGACTGACCTGGAACTCACTATGTAGCCCAGGCTGGTCTCAAACTCACACCGATCCTCCTGCCTCAGCCTCCCAAGTGCTGGAATTACAAGAGTGCGCCGCCACACACAGTCATAATTGTCTTATCTTGATGAAGCTTGCCATCTAACTCCCTTTCTTTTCCAAGTGTTCAGTACCGTTACCCATTTTTATTCAAGTTATGACTCTTAACTACTAGCTTTGCTATCAAAACCAAACTTTCTATAAGGTGGTTTTCCAGATACAGTGGTAGGTAAAATAATGGGTCCCTTCTACTTCCTAATCCCCAGAAGCTGTTAATATAAGAATTACCTTATATGACAGAATGGATTTTGCAGTTGTAATTTAGGATTTAGAAATTAGGGGATTATTCTGTATTATGTAATTGTCTCAGTTTAATTACAAGGGTCCTTAAAGGTTGGAAAAAGGAATCAGAAGAGTCAGAGAATATATGAAAATGAAAAAGGTGTGAATGTGAGCAAAGGTTTGAAAATTCAACATGACTGTCTTGCAGGATATGGGAAAGGGCTACAAACCAATTTTGGCATCTACAATTGGGACAAAATCAGTGGAACTCATTCTTTTCTAGTCCTTCCAGGAAGAACACCTGCTAACACCTTAGTATTAGTCCATTTTAGACTTCTGACTTCCAGAGCTGGAAGATAGTAAATTTTTGTCATTTTAAGCCACTAAATTTGTCTAATTCATCACAATAGCAACAGAAAAGTAGTTCAGATTTCCCTGCTGCAATGGGGCAGGTAAATTATTAATTTGGAGGTTAATTGAATTAATATCATCTTTTTTTAAACTCCAAGGAAATACTTAGTAATGTCATAATTTCAGGAATCATTCTGGTGGGGGAAATATTTGAAGTTTGGCTGCATTCAGGTGAATGGTGAATGTGTGGAGGTGACAACTTCCCAGAAGATCTTCACAATATACTCAAGGACCCAGGAGTCACCTTTCTTTCTTAAAGTTTCACAGAGCCTTGCTGAGACAGATGAATTAAGTTCAAGCTTTGTGTATGAAATTATTTTGAAGTCAAGAGGATTTAAAATGCTGTGTGTATGTGAATGTGTATATACATATACTTAGCAAGAATGTGGATCCAGGTACAGTGGAATAAAGTTGTAGTTACTCATTTTTATTTTAAAAAGGCAGCATTTTTGGTTTTGCATAGACTCAAATAACTTTCCGAAGGGCTGTGCCTTCTTGTGTCTTTGAATTATCATCTTCCCCCATGGGAATTTCATATGTCTTGAATAAACAACAGATGTTGAATGCGAGGGATCTAGGAGTGGCAGGGGATGCATGGAAAGATGAGAGGTTATCTTGTTTTGGCTGATGGAACTGAGGGATTGAATAGATGTTTGATGATATGGGAGAAATAGAAGAACAGGAGTATCAATTGACATGCATTGTTTTCAATTTATCAGAAACATCATCATACCTTTAGCCTTCGAGACACATCTGATGCAAACAAGAAAGTATCACCAATATTTTTTCTGACTAGTTAGAGAGGAGAAAACTTGCATCACTGTATGTACAGGGCTCTAAACCAAAGCTTTAGATTCCAGTAACAAAAGAATGTGGAAGATCTTACAGGTGTGCAGAGAAAGAAGTGATATCTTAGGAAATGAAGGCTTTATAGGTTCAGATTTGTTTGTCTCCAGTTCAAGCAAACACAGGTGAAGGCTGCGTCTGTCAAACTCCTCAGCCATGCTTGGGGTTGGGGGTTCTTGGTAGCTATGCTTCTTGGTGTTATTCCAGGACTCCCTTGGAACACATTACTATGATCCTTTTTGAATATTTCAAAGGGTGGAAAAGTGGGTCTTGTACTATATCAGGAAGAAGGTGATGACAGAGTCTTGGAATCAATGACTCTGGAAATGATTGTAGAGGGTTGCTAGTTAATATGGGTTTGTACAGTCCCTGAGTATAAGTGATCGAATTGGTACATCACAGTACTGCTAGGACAACAAAGAAGCAGATATTATAAATCCTATTTTATAACTTTGTGAACAGTGCTTAAGAGATACTAAATTATATATCTTAAATCACAGACTTGGTAGGTTGTAAAGCCAAGATTAGCAATTTGGATTAGTGTCTTGTTCAAAACTGCACCCAGAACGCCTTGAACTTGTCTTCTTAGGGACTGAGAGGGGTAACACTCTGAAGCCTAACTATCTGCAGTATTTTTAAAAAGATAATAAAATCCTGGCTCCCACTTCATATCCTCTGGGTATGGAGCTTGTGATTTTTCATTTTAAATGATTTAACCCAGGGGATAATTTTTCGCACACGAAAATTTGAAAACTTCTAAGTTTCTGAAGTTCCTTCCTTCTCAGTGCTGATCTGTGGAACAGGATCACATCACTTGAGAATTTGTTAAAAATGCAGAAATTCTAGGTCTACTGAATCAGTATCTGCAGCATGGGAATATTTTTAGAAAGCGATGGGCACATCAAATAATGAGAACTGGTACAAACCTCAGCATTAAGGGATAATAACATGCCTCCTCAAATGGAAAGTGAAAAAGCTGGAACTTCATACACTTAACTTTTAGTTTTTGCTGAATTGAGTCCGTTGAATCTTCATTTTCTTCTGTTACAGGAGGAGGTCATGGCCCACGTTATAGGATCACACTGTCTTGACTCTGTGTAGTTGACAAGTTATGGAAAATGCTGCCGCACTAACCAGACTCCTGAAGGAGTGAGGCCCATCAGATAGGAAAACCCTAGCTGTCTTGTTATCTCTGCATTCGGTCTGCTGCACAAAACTGAACTCTGAGATGACGTTGATCAGCACTAACAACTGAAACAAGAGGAAGGAGAATTTGAGCAAGTGGAAAATTCTGGAAAGGGGACCCCAGGGAGCAGTAGAAGTTAATACCAACATAAGTGCCTGTACCTCTTATGCCACAGTTATCACCCTGTTACTGTGGATTAAAGGCTGCCTATTAATGAAGACCCCATGGAAAGATTTCTGGGAGAAAATTGGTAACCATCTTGCAAGATAATCAATTTCCTCATCCCTTAGGATCATTTAATATTTTAGGGAATCCAAGTATTTCTCATATCTCTAAATTCCACTTTTTAATGTACTTTAGTCATTAGAAGTTTATGATAGAAAAAACAACCGATTTCTTGAACTGTTTGCAATATGTAGTTCATATATGATAGGGTATCTGTTAAAAGTTGTGTAAAACTGCCATTAGATTCATATGGCATTAGATTCATTAGATTCTTGGCTGATACAGTGGGAACAGGTGTAATGTTTTAAAAATCAAATTGCCCCTAGTAGCTCTTAGCCGAGTAACTTTGACTTCAGCTAAAACATTCTAATAGAAAAAAGAAATAAATGTGCACAGAAATGAATCTGGTAAAAGTATAGAGCAAGAAGGGATTCTGAAAATATTTTAGTTAACCCAAAACATTGATTTACATACGCGTTGTACATATATATTTACCCCAAATTATAGAAGAATCAAGCAATCATGATTTTCTGAAAAGTTTATATCCTTTATATTTAATTTCAAAAACTTGGCTTTCAAGGTCTTTTAAATTTAATCTTAAAGGAGGAATACAGAAAATGTGAAAGAAGAGGATGTATTAAATCTACTTTGAGGTAAAAGAATTCATGACAAAGCAGTCAGGCCTCAGGAAGGTATTAGCACCCTCGTGAAAAGTGAATGTAGACAGTATTAAACCTTTAAAAGCTTACTTTGAAGGAATGTGGAATTGGCTAATATCATTTTAGTGAGAGGGAAAGAATAGACAGTGTTACATTATTTATTTCAGGATCTTTGAAGGCAGTTTTTCTCTCCCTTTTCTCACTGGTTCATCTCAGTGTTAATGAGCATTCAGCTCATATATCAAAGAGAGACTAATAAACTTTTAAATATCAATCCAAAGGAGATCTTTATTTTTTTACTTGGAACAGTGAAACAGTGAAGATAACTTAAAATATTCAAACTTGAAAATATATAATGAGGAAGCTGGAGGAAGCATGAAACTATACTATTTTAAAGAATTTTGACTGTATATTTAGCACACAGTAGTAAGGGGAAAAATTGCTTTAAGGAATTGACAATGTGGACTTAGGTATAGGTAGTAAAAATTTAGAAATGTAGCCTATTGTATTTGCTTTTGAAATGATAAATGTGAGCATTTAGATACTAACTTTATTATAATCTATAAGGATGAGCTGATTGAAAGTTTGAAAATAAAATGTTAGTCTTGCAACTGATACTAAATTAGGAAAGAAAGTAAAAAATGGAGGGTCATTCTGGGCACCATGAAAGAATTCAATCATTGTACTGCAGTTGCTGAGTCTAACAACAGTAATCATGTTTTGAGTTTGGAATAGAGGAAAATTTTTTTTGAAGACAGCAAATCAGGTTTCTCTGAATGACAGTGTCACAATGTGTCAACTGAAAAGAGGTTTTAAGTTAGAAAAATCCTTCACACTTATTCACCCTATTCAACAGAGAAAAACAATTATTATGCAAGAACAGAACATACACCTAGGCATTAAGGAGCACTCTGGGAAGCCTGTGTGCAGCTGAACCACACTGGTTCTGAGCACACAATTTAGGAAAAAGTTGGAATACAGACTAAGAAGCAGGTTATCTCAGAGAATGAAAGTGTGCTTCTTCTTTCAGGGCTGAGGTTTCGTTATTGCTGCTTCCACTGTTTTGTGGTTACTTTGGGCATATTTCTACATTTCTTCTTATATTGTCAATTACTGTTTTACTGCCTTGATGCTTAGGTAGTCTGTGACTCGAAGCCCTCAAAATAACAGTGTGCATAGTGTAGAAACAGAGGTGGAGCTTTCCAGAGGAGCCATATAATCACTGACACCAAGATCAAAACAGACCTACAAATCTGCATACTATCTGATCACCTCTGAGACAGGACGGAGGACATCTTAGATAACATCTAATTCCGTTATTAAATATTCATGCTTAAAGACTGGCTTAGGTCTTAGAGTTACCCACACACAGGTGAAAGCTTAGGCGAATGGTGATTGCCTATATCAGTGGTGATGAACATTTTAGATCATTCAAAGATAACGAACAGCCTGACATGGCACAGGTACCATAGGTTCACTACCACTGGTCTAGGTCATTGTGAATTCAATCTCAAAAGAGAGATTAATTAACAACGTGTTCTATTGCAAGCAGGGAGAAAGATGTATTCCACAATTTAGCCTAGCATGACAGACTTACAGGTTATTGAGATGAATTTAATTGAAGGCTTCAAAAGAGGTACATCCTTTTCTTTTTCTCCCTCCATATTCATTTTTTCCTTAGGTGTTGTCTTCTTTTTTAAGGCTTTCTTGAAAAAGTTGTGCTTCCCACCTACAGAAATGTGAATTGCAAAGCACTGTATGTAAATTGTGAAGTTGAAAACTTCTCCACACTTGCTTTCCTTCTCTAAGCCAGCTTCTCACATTTACAAACCTCTGTTCTCCTCTAAATGTCCCTAGTTTTTTACTCTTGCTAACAAGAAAAGATTCTATAGAAAATTCAATAAATTTATTAGTGATTGTGTTTTCTTCTGCACTAGTAAATATATCTGCAAAGAAGATTGAAGATAGAGGAAGGCAGAGGGTTCCTCCTCACCAAACCCGAGGAACTAATGGAAACCATTCAGGCATTTTAGCATGCAGAACAGCGAGATGGTATGGGATAGTTAGGAGGTCTCCTCATTTCTTGAAATCATTCTATTTATTTATAATACTAATATAGCTTACATTTATAAGGAATATGATGTGTATGTTAGAGGGATGTAATAAGGATTGTGGTCTCATTTTCATGTCACGATAGATTTTTTTCTACAGTTCAGTGATCTTCTAGGCTGATATTCTAAATCTCAACTTTCAAGAACAAGCTGACTTCAAAACATGAACATAAAACATCCTTGAAGATAAATGTATTCTCCAACAGGTACATGGATATAATACAAGCCAAAGCCAAATAATATAATTTTAAGAAAATAATTTGATTTTATGTGATAGATTTTTTTTCCTTTAACTTGGATAAATGAGAATGTGGTCATACTATAAAAATATTGATGGGAGAAAATTATAGAAAGATGATACATGATAAGAACAAGGAAAATTCTGTTGAGAAATTGTTTGCAATGGTATTGCAGAGCATAGTAATCTATTTTTTTCTTTTCTGTTATATATGTTGAATTAGCATCTGCATATATTGGATGTCAATTCAAAAATAAAATTAATTTTGAAAAGCAAAAAATAGAACGATGAATTAGGATTCTATCAGGAAATAGTGTATTTAAAGTTGGCAACTGAGAGGAACTTGATAAAGGGACCAGTTTTAAAATAATAGGTAGTATCTACAGGGAAAGCAGCAAGGGACATTGCAGTATGAAAGAGCTAGCAAGAGTGGGATCTCCTAGCCATCCAGATCCTGAAAAAAAAAAAGAGAGTAACCTTCCGGGAAGAGACACCAGTGGGCCTAAGGGCTGCCTTAGCAAGAGTGGTCTCCTAGCCATCCAGATCCTGAAAAAAAAAAAGAGAGTAACCTTCCGGGAAGAGACACCAGTGGGCCTAAGGGCTGCCTTAGAGGTGACCTCACAAAGCTGGGGAAATAAAAACCTTAGCCAGCTGCACTCTCTCTCTATCCAAATATTGCCTGTATCTCCTTCTCTTTGGCATAACCCAAAGGAAAGCTAAAGTGCAAGGGAGCTTGAGAACATATGGCAGACCAGCTCTGCAGATGACAGAGCTTGGTAGGAAAGGGTAAGGAATGGGTCTGGAAGGCCAATTGGATATCCAACCCGATTGCCTTTGACATCATATCAAATTTAGCTCAACTCCTGTTAGTGTGTTTAATTTTTCCATTTTCAAGACTAATCTTTGTAGCATTTCATTCATCTCCATGTTGATACTTTTCTAAGGTACCAGTATATTTCTCTTCTCATTTAGTCCTTAACAATTTTATAAGGTTTTATTGCTATTTGTCCTACTAATGTCATCCTTTGGAGCTTAGTATAGTTATGGTTGCCACTAGTAAGTGTCAAAAGGAGGTACTAACCTGACAACAATTCTTGGGTTCCTCAGGTGGTCTATAGATCAGGAGGACACAGCATATGAGCTATTAGCAAATATGTAATTGTTCTCAAACTACCATTACTGAGATTTTTATGTCAAAATGATAAAGATGGTTGGTTACTAAGGACCAGAAATATAAAACAATCTGCTCTAATTTAGGTCCCCCTACTTTGACGCAACAAGAATTAACATAGATATTTTTCCAGTTTCTCCCTTTCTAGAATTCTATGATAGTGAATCAAATTTTGCTTATTCTCTCAATTTATTCAGGAAGAAGCTTTTAACTAATAAAAGAGATGTGAGGTCAAGTTCTGTCATACAGTGAAGTAATTTCAGGAGAGTAGCAAAGAATATTTGTGTGGGTCCTAGATGTGGAGAAAAACAGGATAATTGTGAAGAAATTTTTGAAACATCTTGCATATAAAAGAAATGGGAAAGCAAAAGGGATTGTTGAAGAATATGTATCTGGAGCTTAGCATTTTTCTTTAAAAATTTTATTAGTATATTTTTGTCATACATAATTACATTCATCTTTATTTTCTTTTTATTGGCACATATTTTTTCTCTCATTGAGTTTATTGGTACATTTTAGGTACACAGTACAGTTCATTCATCTTTGGGATCTTGTACCTTTACATGACAGGTCTTGGTTCTCATTTTTCCACTTGTCCCTGCCCTCCCTTCACCCCCTCTTCCCTTCCCTATTTACAAATTCTTTATTTCCATAAAATGGATGCTTTTTAATGGCTGAGTAGTTTTCATGTATGCAAATATTTTGAATTTTTCTGAGATTTTTTTGCTGCTAATTATATTAGTTCAAACAATGTCACTACTTTGAATCAGGACTATGTACAGACCAAATTTATAAAAATTACTAATTTTAAAGTTGCCACATATAATTCTAGGCCTTTGATAGACACATGGTTATGTAAGTCATCTTAGAAATAAAGTATTCATAAATAGGGAAGGGAGGAGGGGGTGAAGGGAGGGCAGGGACAAGGGCAAAAAATGAGAACCAAGACCTGTTATGTAAAGGTACAAGATCCCAATAATGAATGTAACTGTACTGTATACCTAAAATGTACCAATAAACTCAATGAAAAAAAAATATTAGTTGAACACATGCTGCCAGAAGTAATGGAATAGGTCTTCTCAAACTGAGGGAGATTAGTTTGAGTATTTCGGAGTAGATTAATGGCAATGTGTCTTTCGCTGTAATAATTTTTTAAAAATTTAAACCTTCTCTGTATGTTTTGATTACTATTCCTTGATCAAATGTTTATGGCAATTTATGTGAAATAAAAACAGTGGGTCCTCATCCACTTTACTCACTAGATCGTTGTGTGCCTTGTAGCTCTTCTCCAAAGTCAAAATTAGCATGAAAGGTAAACATTTTGAATGGATTCAAGTCATTGAGGCAGCATTGACAACACATCTTAGATAGTTACGTAAGAAAACATCCACTTTTGAAGATGGTGAGAATGATGGGATAAGTATGTTCCAAAAGGGGAGTATTTTCAGGAGGGGATTAATGGAAATTTGTCTCTCATTGTAACACATTTTTTAAAAAAATTTAAAATTTAAACATTTATTTTGTATTTCAGTCCCACTTTATAGTTTGTTTTGTTTTTTATTTTTTATTAATCATAAAAGCCAGATCCTTGTGCATGCTAGGAATTTGCTGTACCAATAAGCTACATTCCCAGTCTCATTGAACTTAAAATCTCCCCCCCCCCGCAAATTATTGACCTTTTAGGAATAGGATGGAATTCAACCTGTAAGCGCTGAGACTAATATGAAAAGCTTCTCAACTTGTTAAATTTCAAAGTTTTTAACTTATAAAAACTCTGAACTCTAATTTTTTGGCTAATAAAACTCTGAACTCTAATCTCTGAAGTCTAATTCATTGTTTTGCTAATAAAAGTTAAATGAGATAATAGGAACATATTTGTGTAATGGCAATGTGTTGGAAAAGTGTGTGTGATTGATTGGAAGCAAAATTATGTATATCCATGGTGGTAAACCTTTTTTGGACATTAGGGTTTTGAGAACTTTGAAAATTGCTATTCACTGGAGTAAGTCCCCAGACATTTGACATAGTTATTCTGGATGTTGGCATCAGAATATTGTAGAGCCTCCCCAATAATTCTGTTAAGTAGCTAATGTTGATGTCAACTTATACCATAAAGTTCATTATTTCAAGATGATGGATTTTCTTTTTATACTCATCAGTAATGAAATTAGGGATTCTATCTCCTTTTAATGTAATTTAGGCCACCAGGAAGAATTTGCTGGAGCACCTGCAAGGCACTTTTGATACTTCCTGTAGGATGTGCCACCTTTTCCCACCTATGAAGGCCTCCATTGGAATGGTCAGAGGTCATCAAGAGAAAATGAAATGAGCAAGTTAGGCATGAGCCATGATGAGCTGATGTGGATTACATTTATGTCTCAGCATCATAAGCAATGGTAGAATCTGTGGCTAGGAAGTCTTTATGATCTACTGGCTTTTAGAATATTCTGTTGACTCATATCCCTCTGGCAATCCCTTCTCTATCTTGCCTATCCTCAGAAAACATTACCAAAACTTTGTTGTAATGAGCAGCTATATATTTATTTCATTTTATTTTTCTTCTGCCAGAATTTATTTAATGTGAATTATTCTTGTGCAATACAATATTAGAAGTTTATTTATAGAGAGCACACACACACACACATATAAAATTTAGAATTTGATTTTTAAATTTAAACATGTGATAAGTGACATCAAACTCTTGATTATTTTTGCTAAATATCTGTAAAATTTATTAACACATTTTTTTACTTTCCTTGGATGACATATAGTCCCATTCTTACAAAGAATTTAAAAATTATTCAATCTATGCTTGTGTATGTCTGATGATAAAACAAGTTTGGAAACTTTCAGTCACATTCAAAATAGTCATTTTAATTGGTACCAACATCCCCAGACCTCCAATTGTGCTTCTATTTAAGTAAGACCATAATATTTCTTTTAGCAAGTGGTTGCAAATAGAAATCATTAAGCATAGTGATGATACTTGACTCTTATAAAAGGTTATAGAGAGGTAATTTGCTCTGTATGTCAATGGCATTGATTGTACATTGGAGAAATATAATGTATCATCTAGCAAATCTCATAAACATAGAACTATTTCTACTTTTAAAATGAGTCATCAGACAGGTCTTTGAAAGTTCCTGTCAAACTGGTAAGCTAACACACTATTCTTGGCATGGTAAATGGAAACTAGTGGTTTATTTGTAGGAAATTATAAAGATATTAAAACACCTTGAGAGTTATTGTAAACAAATTTGCTCACTATTCTGTTATAAAGACTTTGAAAATATAGAAAAGTCCTAAATATCTAACAATTGCATAATAGTAAATAATATTTTATCTATTGGATGAGTTAAAAATCTTATAATTATACCTTTAAAATGATTAGATAGTAAATCTATATTATGTGCATTTTTCCACAATAAAATAACAGTAAAATATGGAAGCAATGTTTATTGGCATATATTATATTAGATTAAAAAGATATATTTTGAACTAACCATTACTAAAATTATGAAAAACATGTACACAGACAAAGATAAATGCTATATCAAAGTTAAATTGTATGTTTTAAAGTGGTGAGATCATAATTTTTATTTACTGCTCAACATTTAAAATATGTTACATTAAAATAAGCTCTAATGCTCTGTAAGTACAAAATGGATTGCATAAATTTTCAAAGGAACTATTTTAAATTGTGATCCTCATTAGTTTTGTCATCTAATCAGATGTGGATAGGAGCTCAATAATTTACTTTTATTTTTGTACTGCATGTTTCATGCAAGATGTGACTGTACATGGATTTATAGATACAAGCAAGAGAAAACAGTTATATTAGATTTTGTGTGGGTGAGAGACAGAGGTAGCTATTCAATATCTCATTTGAAAAACAAGACAAAAATAATCAGGAAAAAATACTGCTGATGAAACCGTTGAAAATATAATGGCTATTTTTATTTTCTGTGGTACAGGAATGCCTCATCATTCTAGCTCAGCTGAGTACTGAGGAGTTAATAAAACTTTTAAGTACTAAAACTATGCAGCAAATAAACACTGTATTTATGAGAATCTTGCTGGAATGTACCACATACTATCCTGTTTTCCTAAATGGCTTCTATGGAATTTAATCTGATCTTTTGCATTTGACTTACACTTATGGCCCTATACTGGGGAGCTGGTACTATTCTTCAGTTTTTGTAGCTCCTCTATTTCTTCCCGTGCTATCAAATGTCACTTCTTTAACAAATGATCCAAGATTGTTTCAGCAGAACTAACTGCTGTATCAGTTAAATTTTCATATGTCCAGTTTTTCCCAATCCACAAAACTCTATATAACCAGCTTTCTTGAGCTTTATATTATGTGGTAATAAATAATAATAATGTATAGTTTGGCTACCCTGGGAAATAATGGGCTTTAATTTTTTGGAATGTTCCTTTGGCAATTTAGAGACCATGCTTTTAATACTTCATTTTACTGAGGTACTATAATATTAGAAGCAGCAGAAAATGGGTATATCAAGGGAAGAGTGTTGGCAAGCAAATTATATTTGTTGCTGTTTTGATATTGTTCATCTTTAGATTACAAGGAATGATGACAGTTGCATGAAGAGAACACAGTAAGAAGTAATTCAAAAGGGAAGATAGAAGTTGGAAGACTTCCAAATAGGCAGATGGTGACACACAGAATAATGAAGTGAAAGGAAAGGGAAGAAAAGTCACTTTTATTAGATCTTTCTATATTTAGTGTGTATGAGGCCTTGTCCATAGCAAGTGAATGTCAATTTTTCTAAATATCCAGCACAATCCATACTGAAAGGAAGAATTAAGAGACTACATAAGTTGCAAACAATAGGAAGAAGAGGCTAAACATTTATACTGTGTTCAATTATGACTGAGTTTTTTAAAACACAATCTTATTCTCTTTCTCAGACTGGCTTTGAACTCCTGGACTCAAATGATCTTCCTGCCTCAGCCTCCTGTGTAGCTGGTACTACTAGTACCTGCCACCACATCCTACTAAACTATTCCTACTAATCATGGTACTCTGAAGCCAGTACCAGAGAAATGACATAAAACATGTCCAAATTCATGAACTGCAACAACTCCACCCAACTCTTATGGTTATGATGTGGAGTAGGAAGTCACAGAACTTGAGGCCCACGATTACACTTACTCCAGTGAATAGAGGGTTGTTCTAAAAGGTCCAAGATCTGGGATCTATTTGCAGGCTCACCTGTTTATAGATCATAGAAGTCCTTTTCTTTCTCTGTATGTTTTTAAAATGTAAGTTATAAAAGGAAAGTGTAAAGTGAGATATTTCTATGCCCTCTTATAGAGCTCAAAAGGAAAGTTGTCCTCTTGCACAGCTTCTTCCTGACTCTGGAAGAGGACCAACGCCTCCTTCACGAAAGCGCTACTCCCTTTCTCTTGACTCTCACGATGTGCTTCTCTTTTGGATTTCCAAGTATTCTTGTAATTGCTTCTCCTTAGCTTTGTCAGCACTTTATTTTCTGCCAGTCTTCATACATTAATTAGAAGCTTTCAAGCTTAGCTCTAGGACTTTTTTTTTTAACCGTCTAACTTCTATTCTCAGTCACTTCATCCATTTTCATTTTCTAATTTAAAATTTTTGAAGTACAACAATAATATACAGAAAAGCACACACAGCATAAATATATAGCTGTATAGATTAAAAGAAGATTATGTTACACATAACTAGATAAGTGTCAAAAATTAAAATACCGTTAATAGAAATATAGTCTGTGGTCATAAGCTACTGAGCTTCGGGGACCAATCTTTTAATACATTAGCCTCTAAGTTTTTTATTGGGAAGGATGGGGGAAAGGAAATAAGGGAAAATAAAAAATATGACAAAATGAAAAATTGAAATAAAGTATCTGTAATTAGGGAAGGGAGGAGGGGATAAAGGGAGGACAGGGACAAGGGAAAAAATGAGAACCATGACCTGTCGGGTAAAGGTAAAAGATCCCAATGATGAATGTAACTGTACCATACACCTAAAATGTACCAATAAACTCAATGACAAAAAATATTTTAGTGTTTTGGATATCATCAAGATTTGGAATAGTGGTAATCATTCTTGTGACATGCTAACAAAAGAGTGTGTTTTAATCAAAATAAATATACAAATGCAAAGAAAGTTATAGTAGAACTGCATGTTAAGAAAGTGTACTGAGTATCTATTGCTATATGCTAAATTACTCTAAAACAGTCACTCAAGACAACAAATTTTATTATCTTACAGTTTCTGGGGCAAGAATCTTGGATTATTTACCTGAGTACCTCAGTTCGAGTCTGTCATTGCTGCCGGCAGGTCTCAGGAATTCTGCTCCAAGACTCACTTATGTGTCCATGACAATATGCAGCTGTCTTCCTTTAAAGCAAGCGGTCAAAAAAGAGAATGAGACCCTGCCCAAGAAGGACACCACAATCCATTTGCAGTCTAACCTCAAATGTGACAGCCATCATTTCCGCAATATCCCATTTGTTAGAACAAAGATGCTCAGTCCATCCTGTAGGAGAGGAAGCTTCAGAGGCTGCCTGTCACAGTGGCATATACATTCTTATAAAATAATCATAACTCTGAAAATAGTAAGATTCTGAATGATAATGCATTGATAAAGATGATTCTCAGTTTTTATTTTACATATAGCTCTATCCTTTGAATTTTGAAAATGTTAATATTTTACAACCAAAAAGAAAGAACAAATAAAAGTAGTATAAATGGTAAATGTAATTTTAAGGTCTTCTTTTGTAGTATCTGAATATTCAAGTTTCTATCATATTAAACTATTATATTTCATAGGGGTTGACATGAATGTGAAAAATCTGACCTGGGCTCCACTCCCTAATTTTTTTATAAGCCAGTCCTCTTGGATTTGTTCTGGAAGAGCATGAATGATAATTCTTACAATAATGTAGATGGATCTGTTATGAATTTGGAGAAAGAAATGGGCTGTCCTCATCAAGAGACCCCTTGTCAAAACAAAAACCTTAGGAAATTCAGGGTTTGTTTTAATAAGGGACTCTTGCTCAGCAATTAATCTCTCATAAGATATTGAAGGTTAACTCAAAATGTCAGAATTCATTTTAAAAATAAGGTAATTCCATGGAAACAGTACCAATATTATCAAGAAACATATAATATTCTCCCCCTAAAGAACTAAGTTCTAAAGTTGGTTTAAAATTCTTTTTTTAAAATTCTCTTTACATTTAAAATCAGCAGGTGAGAATTCATAAAGCACTTAAATAGTCCTCATTCTGCTTGGCTTCCAAAAAGTTTAATGATACAACAAAGTGAGTTATGGGTTACTGCAGGTGTTGGGGAAGATAAACATCTGTTTCTTAATCATGCATTTTTGGAACAAAGAGTATAATGGAGTAAATCCTTAATTCCATCATTGCGGTGTAAAACTGTACTATAAAAGGAATGCCAAACTAATGTTATATTTCAAAGATATTTTCCGATTTGCTTCACATAACTATTTCCCCTTACCAAGTTTGAATTTTTCATTCTGTCTCTGGTGCAAACTTCAAGTTGGTATAAACAAAAGTAATTTTTAGAAAACAAAGAGAAGTTTATCTTTATTTATACTTATCTTCTCCCAACAATGATTTATCTTTTTATTTTTTGAAGATACATGTAGATTTTCAGAGTGCAGTTCAAATAATTTTCACAGATATAACCTACATACCTATCAAGATACAGACTATTTCTGTCACATTAGACATTTTTTGAGCCCTTAATAAGTAAATCGTCACCAAGCCACTTACTTCCCACCCTATGTCTGTAAGTCACACTAGTATCATTTGTTTGCTCTTTTTTGTTGTTAAGTAATATCATGGTTGTATAGTTCCTTCTTTGTGGTGCTTGGGTTGTTTCCAACTTGGGGATTTTACAAATAAAACTACTGTAAACACTCTTCTTGGTTTTTAAATTTATTTTTTATTAGTACGTGTTTGCAGTACTTAATGTTTACATTCCTTGTGGACAGTTCACACACACGCACATATATCTCATATTTTATTTCCTTTGACATCCTCTTTTTTTGTCTTCCCTTCCCTTCTCTCCATCTCTAGATCCCCTTCCCATTCAAGAAAGCTCTGTCTCCCCAATTCCCATTATCTTTTATTTTGCTCTTTACTCATATATTAGGTTTCTCATATAAAGACCATGGCATATTTAAGCTTGTGCATCTGATTTATTTCACTTAACATTACAGTCTTGAGGTGCATCCATTCTCCTACAAAAGACGTTTATCTTTATGGCAGAGTAGTATAATACTCTATTGTGTATAAATGCCAACTTTTCTTTGTTCATTTATCTACTAATGAACATATATAGGGCTTCCAAGATTCAGTGTTCTTTTAAAACAAGTTTTCTATTAGTACATGTTTGCGATACATAATGATTTTGCTTTGGGGGAACTGGTACACATGCATAGCACATCTTGATCATTTTGACTCACTCCATCCCTATGCCTTTTCCTCCTACCAGATCCCCTTCTCATCTTGAAAAATCTACCTATTTGTTTCCTAACAAGGCTCCTTTTTTGTCTTTTAAATTATTTATATTTTGGGTCTTTTATATAAGAGAAGCTATGTGATATTTAACTATCTGTGTCCATACATTTTCCCCAAAACAAGTCAAATTTAACTCTTTAATGATTGAGCTGCAGTCCCTTGGGTATAGAAGCCATGCTTTCTTTATCCATTCATCTATTGATGGGCATATAGGATGTTTCCCTAACTGAGTAATTGTGTACTGTGCTGCTATAAACATGTGTATGTGTGTATCACTGTAACATTGATGACTTCAATTCTTTTGGGAAGGTACCCAGGATAAGTGTAGCTCAGTCAAATGGAATTTCTATTTTTAGTTTTTTTGAGGCAACTTCATACTGATTTTCATAGTGGTTTTAATAATTTACACATCCACAACAATGTAGAAGGGTTCCTTTTTCTCCACAAACTCCCCAGCATTTGTTGCTTTTGAGTCCTTGATGATAGCTATTTTTATTGGATCAAGGTAGAATCTGTGTTATATTAATCTGCATTTCTCTAATGGACAAAGATAATAAACAGTTTGAAGAAATTGCACTTTGTTTAAGCACAATGAACATCTTATTTATTAAATTCCTCTTTAGTGTATTTACATTTAAGCTCATTGAATGTCTTATGCACTTGATTATTTGATCTTTTTTTTTTTTAGTCCATTCACTGCCTATTAGATCAGGTTTTGAGGGAGTTAGGAGTTTTAAGAGGTATCTTGTTGCCTTATTTTATCATTTTTCAGATGTTTCTGTGGTGGGGGTCTTGGTAAAAATCTCTATCACTAGAGTTGAAATCTCTGTAGTTAGTGTATATCTCCCTGTGGTATGACCTCGGCTGATGTGTTTTGGTGTTCATGTATCTATTCTCCCTATTAAATTTATAAGGATCAGTCTCAATCACTACACTGCAAGGAGAGAAAAACTACCAGTCATATCAGCATCTATAGAACCAACAATGTATTAATCATATAATTGAACATTTGTTTTAAAATTTCACACTTTTCTCAATACTAAAGAAGATAGTGAAATAGTACGGATAACAGGCTGAGATGTAAAGGACCAACGAAGAAAAAAGTAAAAAGGAAATATTTAAGAAAAAATGGAGGAAGAAAAAAGGCAAGGGCAAAGGAAAGACAAAATAATAGGACTTTGGTGCTATTTTTATATCTGAAATGGAGGGAGGAAGAAAAGAGTTTTGAAAGGTTATTGGGGAGGTTCAGAAAGAAAGAAGAAGGAATGAACTTGTATGAGTTAGGGCTCATGAGGGGAATGGATTTAATATAAAATATATAAAATGCATATGATCTGTAAAGGTTCTACAAAGTAGGTTTACAGTGGCCACCTGGAGAGTAAGGGTGGAAGAACTAAAAAAGGCCACTGCAGAGTGGAGAGCCAGATGATCCAGGCGGATCTCTGAGTACCGGAGATCACTGCAGAGTCCGATACAAATCTGTAGTGTGCAGCTGAGGATCTGCATTGAAAAGGTGAAGAATCGGCAATGGAAGCCTGAAGATGGGTTCCAAAAGCAATGGAGAAGATTCAAGCTCCAAAAGAAAGCAAAAAGTGAGACTACGTGCTTCTTTCCCTCTTTATTTTATCCGTGCTACAAGTTTGGGTTGGTACCACCCACATCCAGAGTGAGTCTTCCCTCTTCAATAAGCCAGTTATCCAGGTACACACAGAACTCTGCTAAACTATCTGCTAGGCATTTCTTATTCAAGGCAACACCACAATTAATTATCCCAGAAGCATGGTTGGAGATAGACAGAAGCTCTAAGAAGGTAGGAATCAATTAAAATGCTGAGAGAAAGTTTGTGTTTGAATCCTGTACACTCAGATTTTGATAAGGATTAATTTGACATGACCCTGAAATATATTACATAAAATAAAGCAATAATTAATCCTTATTCACCAGTTCAAATATAAAATAGTTCACATATATGTTCTAAGAGAGGAATAAAGGGAAGACAACAAAAGAAGAGAAAAATAAAATAAAATAATTTTTAAAATGTGCTGATAGTATTTATGTCATGCAAAAGCAGGGGAGGGGGAGTGGAATTTGAGAGGGTGTGAAAGGGAAAGTAAGAAAAGTCAGGGAATAGTTGAAATGGAAGGTATGAGGTGGGGTTGTGTCAATTTATGACCAAACTGAAAAACTAGTTTTACTAACCCTATGACACAATCCTTGGCAGGGGAGAAACTAATGTGACCAGGTGAGGAGCTGTAAAGATAAAAGCACTGATTCTTAATCTTAAACTCTTAGCAGCACAACATTGACTCCCTATGTCTTACTAAAACAATACCAGAATAAAGACACGAAAAGAGAAAGGAAAAAAGAATGAAAATAATTTGTGTTAATAGTATTTGGATAACTCACAAGTAGGAGTAGAAGGAATTTAAGATAGACTGAAGGAGGTCCAGGGATTTAGTTCAGTGGTTCTGCCAGCTGCCTTGCAAGCAAAAGGTCCTGAGTTCAATCCCTGGTATAAAAAAAAAAAAAAAAAAAAAAAAAAAAAAAAAA